CAACGTTGTACAGACTGCGGTTGAAGTGCTTGGCTTCAAAATTCATAAAATTTCTCAACTGAAGAAGTGGAAAACGAAGATGCCGATGCCCCTCTTTTATTTGCAAATCTACAATAGCCTAAAAGCTGAGGAAATATATTCAATAACCGAACTCCTTGGAACTGAAGTCTCCATGGAGCACTTCAAAGGACAGAAGGGTCCCTCCCAATGCTGGCGTTGCCAGGGATTTTTTCATTCGTCCGAAGTCTGCACCTTACCAAGACTTGTGTGCATATGCCGGTTATTTTTATTATAATATGAGGAAATTTCTGTAGCTAGTATGTAGTAATTTAGGAGTTATTCGGCACGGATATCGCGCAGGAAAGAGCTTGTTTTCCTCGCTTAAATCAACCAAGCATTTGATTGCAGGCTTGTTAATAATTCTGGTCTCGCCCAGTTGTACGCTTTACGTATAAATGTACAAACTAAATGACAAACTCGAACATTAGTAAAACGAGTGAGCAGTAATAACTAGGTTCAACAAGGTTTAGAAGCATTTTTAACTCATTTACTCTTGTCCCTTTTTCGGGGAAAGTGCCGAGAAATTGACATTTTGTACAGTATCCTATCGAAAGGAAAATGTGCTTAGAATCGTAGTTAATACTAATTAAAGAGCAATAACTGTGCAAAACGTTTGATACCGACAACGTTAAGTATTTACATACCAAACTGAAAATACAGAGGTTTAAATTCCAACTTTACAAAACCAGTCTGCACTTACTCCACTTCACCTTATTAGAAATAAATGGAAAAGCACTCAACTAATATAAGGCAGTAAATCCAGAAAATAATTAAATGAGTTTTGAAAGAAAACTATTATTTCTTATCTTACATTAAAATTTGATTCCTAACCTCTGATGAAATTGGAGATAGAATTTTCTCTCTTCTCTTGTGTGCAGAAGTCGCAAGAAAAATTACCTAGATGGAAATGAGTGGAAAACGTCACAGTTAGTTTAACTCCTAAAGATTCTAAAATGTGTTTTTAGAAAATATCCTTAGGATGTACTTTTTGTTATTATTTTCACTTCCTCGGATAAATCCAGATGTCTGGACTTGGTTTGAATTGAATTTGGCTATGTCTCAGAAAACTGCCATTTTCTATTTTCGTATGGCATTTGTGACGGTGATAACTGGTTTTCTATTTACCAAATTTCAATGGAAATCTTACAGGCAATACAATATTCTGCCAGGTTACAATTCGATTATCAGCGAAGTTTTCGAAAAGCCTTTCAAATCTTTCATTCTTTCTGTTTACCCAAAACGGTATTTTGCTCGCAACGGAACTTTATCGAAAGCATAGAATACTTTAGGGTTTCCTTTTATAGCCTTAATACAAACAGCTTTTGTCTGGCATTTCAGAATAATGTTTAAAAAAATATCTCAGAAAATGTTTAGGAAAAATAGCCTCATCCCAGAATTTGTTTAAAAAAAACCTGAATGGATATCGTAGCGATTTAATGCATTTTTAAGAAACAAAACATTTTTCAAATTAGTCTACAGTTGAATAATTGTAAATGAATAGTTTTCTGGCTTTGAGAAATTAATACCATGCATTTTTTAATTTATTCTGGAGCTCAATATTTATGTACATTAAATACACGAATATGCGTTATATACATGAAAAAAGGAAATGTAATATTTATAAGTTCGTCTTACAGAATGCGTCTTACTCATTGGGTAATAAATGTTTTCTATGAATTAAAGATGAAAATACAATATAATGCGCCTTCTTTGACACACTAAATATCATGCTATGAAGATGTTTGTTTGTAGCACTGTTTAAATACAGAATTAATTTTTATTAAATACTAATAGTGTAATTAAATAGCTGTTAAATTATTAAATATTTAACAATACTTTCAAATTATATTAAGTCAGAATTAAACTGCTGACCATCTAAAATGAAACACCATGAAAATATTAATGAGCGTGATAATCATCACCAAAGAACATAAAACTTTCATCGTTACTCAATGGAATATGCAGATGATTATGGTTTCAGTGCATGTGCACATCATGGATGACTGCAGCGCTCCTTGCAATCCGTATATTAAAGGGAAGAAAGATTGTCGCTTTGAATAATGTGAATTTTTCTTGTGATATTTTTTGTGTGTGCATGGCTCATTGAAAAACACAAGCATCATCTGAACACGTTTCTGAGTTCCACCAAGGCAGAGTCATTGCATACAGAAATTGCGGATTATCCTTCCAAGAAATCGGTGGTCATGTCAGACATAGCCAAGCAACAGTCATGAGAACATCGAATCGGTGTATGCAGAAGGGAAAGACTCAAGGCCACGTACAATTTCAATCACCACTCCACGGGAAGATAGGCATATTGTGCGCATGGCACTGGTGGATCACACTACCACATTCACAACCATATCACAAAGAATGCAGTCTGTAACACAACAATCTTTGTCTGCCTGAATAAGTCGATGTCATTTACAGCACAATGGATTGTTCGCTAGTCGTCCTTTGCTTCGCTTACCTTTAACATTAATCCAATGGCGTTTCAAAAAGTGAGCTAAAGGGCGGAGATGGACATCCAAATGTTATGCATTTCATATTGGTTCTGCACCCGTTGTTATGTTATGGGGTGGCATTGTTTCCCTTCCTGCACCTCCTAGTATGCATTATCAGCACACTTTACCAGCCAACGCAATACGTATCTATGAGGCTTTGCAGTGTGCTCTCCTTAATTATATTCAGGGCTTACTTGTAGTTCCATTTGAACAGGACAATTGCGCGTACATACACTGGTGTGCAAAAATTAAGGACGAGACGATTTTTTCAATATAACTTTGTACAAAAGCTTTCCAAATCAACACATTTAATACCGTAAGATCCCCAATACGTAAGGACATGAGTAATGTAAGCAACACTTACTAAAAGAGAAATCAGAGGGATAAAAAGAAGCTTTATTGAAAAAGTAGCATGGACCGCAAGGCGACTGAAGGCCGAAACATCCCTGTGATGGGTGTCCAGCAAGAAACATCCGGTCTTTAATAGGGTATATGATCTCCCCTGACTGCTAGGCAGGTTTCACAGCGTCTGCCCATGCTGAGAATGAGGGTGTCAATGAGTTGTTGAGGCATTGCTGCCCATTCGTTTTGCAGCGCCAATCGAAGCTCCGGAATCGTTACTGGTGGTAAGGTACGAGCTGCCAAGCGTCTGCCTAGAAAATTCCCATACATGCTCGATGGGATTGAGATCCGGAGATCGTGCCGGCCAATCCATACGTTCAATATCCTCACTCTCTAAGAGCTGTTCGGCAGCGACTATGCGATGACATGGCGCATTGTCGTCCATAAAAAGGAACTGCGGACCCATAGCGCCCCTAAAAAGACGCACATATGGAAGAAGAATCTCTGAACCTGCGTCGAAGATGTGAAGGTCTGTACGACTACTAAGCATGATGCCTCCCCAAACGAGAACACCGCCACCTCCATACCTGTCCCTTTCAATGATGTTCGAGGGATGATTGCGGCTTCCCCGCTCTCTCCAGATGAGTATGCGATGAGAATCGCTACTCAGACTGAATCTGCTCTCATCTGTAAAGAGTACTCGTCCCCATTCATTGTCTCTCCAATTCCGGTGTTCCCGGCACCACAGAGAACGCCTTCTCCGATGGGCAAGCGTTAGAGGTACACACCGTACAGGGCGTCGTGCAAACAGACCACCACCGTGCAGTCTTCTTGCCACAGTAAAACGCGATATCGGTCGTCCAGTCGCCTGTGTCGTGTGTCTAGCGATTTCTCCCGCTGTCTGCCGCCTGTTTCTTTTGGCCTCTAAGGCAATATACCGGTCATCTGCAAGTGTGGTTCCTCATGAACGACCACTACTAAACCCCAGGATAGCTGTTCCTGTAGTTTGAAATTGTCTCCAAAGTCGTGAAACGATGCTGTGAGCAATTCCGAACTCTGCAACCACACTTGTCACACTGCGGCCTTCCTCCAACTTCCCAATGATTCGACCTCGGGTAAAAGCATCCAGATGTCGTCTAACAGATTGATTATTCGCCATTTCTCGCTGAGGCAGCAACTCGGTGTGATTTTAACTGCTATACGGCGTGCAATCTCTTTGCCAGAAATACTGATCTTACAATGACAACTTGCTTTATACTACTCAGACACTACCCCATTACGTCTACCTGCATATCTGCGCATGTGCTACCGTACATCACCTTACTTAATCTCCTGATTGGTCTTTCTGTCCGCTCTGCCTCTTCGTTCAGCTGATATGCTAATTTTTCGACTTCGTCCTTAATTTTTGCACACCAGTGTATATTGCACGCAGTGTTTAAGCCATCATCTTGACGCACTATATTGCATTGTTATCCTGGCCCTTCCCGTTCTCCAGATATATTGCTCATCGAACATCCATTAACACATCCAAAGCTTCTTTCACCCAATGCCGCAGCGTATAGCAGCGGTTATTGACAAACATGCAGGCAGCACTCATTACTAATTATTTTCGTCTTCATCACCTCAAAGAAGGCTGTATTCAATATGGGCTTTTAATTTCATTTCCACCACGTATTTAACAACTATAAACAGTAGAACTGAAAAATAAATTTGATATCACATTCTAAGAAAAATTATTATTCTTTATTTTACAACAAAGAAATAGTGGAGGAATAAAATTTATGCTATTTCTTCAAACTTGTTCATTATAAAAATGTAAAATTTTTATAAAACATAATGAAGTAATGCTTCACCTTTATGATGTTATTATTTAAGTGTCTCAAAAATTATTAGGAAATCGTCTTTTATCTTTATTCTTAAACTAAATAAATGGAAACGCATATTTACGTCCGTGAAACAAGATTAAGATAAATATCTTGATTTTATCATTATTACACGAGCAAATAATAGTTTTGATGTTCTGTAAAATTTTTGTAATATTTTATAAAGTTTTACTGTTTTCCTAATAACATTATTTTTTTTTTCCCAGATCCAAGTCGTAACCGATATAGCTAACAATGCGGAAATGAAATTACCACTTCAACCACTTGTATATGCGTTAGCATTAGGAGCTTGCCTAGGAGGTAATTTATTTCTCTGTGCAACAGTTTAATTAATATTTTCTGTTCTTGTTGCATAGTTCTCACATACATCGATTCCACAAACGTCTTACCTGTCCTTTACATTCTCAGCCATTGGTCGTGTCTGCACATAGATGTATTTCTGGTAGTATGTTTTTTAAATTAAATTTGAGTTAAATTTGAATTGTCTCAATCCACAGACAAATACATCTTTCAGGAACATGACATGTTTTTCACCTAACATTTTTTTTTCAAAGATACGTACGTGCATGAGGACACTTATATTATAAATGAATACATTTTTGGACTGAAAAACTCGGTGCTACTTTGATAGACGGTTGCACGGATTTTTGGCGATTTACGTTGGCGCAATTGTTGGCGCGGTTTTTACAATCGTCAGCCATCTTGAAATACGCTGTTTTTACGCATAGTAAAGTATTCGAAACTTGAAAAAAATAAATATCGTTAAAAGTAATTGATTAATCTTTTTGTTGAAAATGTCGTTTTTTAAGAATGCAGGCAAGTGTAAATAAATGCATTTACTATGAGTATAAAATACTAAAGTAAGGTTATTATTACTTTCATATAGCAAAGAAGAGAATAAAAACACCGCTATAAAAACATTGTGCCAACGTTTAATTAGATTAAAATATTACTTAAATTGAATATCGAATTAAAAACATTAAAAAACACTAAATTTAAATACTTTAAAATACGTTTAATTTTTAATGCAACTGTCCAGCAATGGCGATTTTTCTTTTGGCAAGTCGTATTACTCGCCAAAAGAAAAATCGCCAAAATCCGTTCAACCGTCTACCAAAGTAGCACCAAAAACTCTCTAAACTCTTTATAATCCCATAAGCCTAACCTGTGTTATAAAATATGACCCAGCCGCTCGCCTATAACATTCCAAAAGGATTAAAATATAAAGCTTCATAAATGAGATTTTTTTTTTAGTATAGTATAAATATATAGTTGCGTTTTGAATTTCATAAATGCACGTGAAAGAGGGGCATGCTGTGTTTATATGATTGAACAAGGAAAAATATTCCATACTAAGACAGTCATGTAAGAACGAGTTTTTCAGAAACGTATAATCGAAATTGATATATATATATATATATAAAATGTATCAAAATAATGCTAAGCATGGAAATATTATCTGATAAAAATTCAGCAATTTTTTCAAGATCAATTTCATTCTTTTATTAAGATTGTAATCAGAAAAAAAAATCTGTGTTCTAGTGACACACAAGAAAAAATATTTGCTTTAAAAATTAAAAAAAAATTTTAAAAACGACCACAGCCGTCAAAATAAAAATGCTGCTATGGTGAAACACTGCTACGGTATGAAGCCGAGTGTAAAATTCTCATCTTTATTTTAATGGGAAATTATATCAGTGATGTACTATCGATTCATTCCCTGTAATATCTTAGACCCCTTTACTGGATTATTTTTAAAAAATTGAAATTTTATATTTCGTACCAGTGAAACAAAAATATTCTTTAGGGTTAATGTTTTTACATCCGTTTTCATGTCATTATCTAGCAATACAAAATAATATTCGTTCAAAATTAAAAGAATACTAACATTTGTTTCGTAATCTCTAGAAACGACGGACATATTTTAATGAAATTTAGAATGGACATAGATTAATGTAATACAAAAAATATACCGCACGACAGTCATGATATTAATACATAATCATGTCTAAGGCCTTTTGTGTGTGCATGTTTATCGCAAACTCATAGTCATTTGACAGTTTAAAAAATTCATTAAATTAAATATTGCATAAGATGCTACAAAACTGAAAGTACATGCACTAAAGCGAGAAAACTGGTTTTGACAGTGTCAATAACATTTCATGTTTTGGTGCTTAGACTTTGAAACGATGTTACGCCCCCTTCTCATCGATATCTGCCGCTTCTTATCGTGTTATCTTTGAACCTAAAGAATCCGTGTCTTCACATGGCAGACAGATTGCTTAGGTTGATTGCCTCTTTGGCCTAAAGTTAAAAAGGTAAAAGTTTACAATTGGGTGCCCCTTGTTTTTTGGCGATTCTTTTTTGACGCCAAGATCGGCGCCAGGAAGACACAATTTCAAGATGGCCGCTACACGAAACCAAAATAAGAAGTCAAAGAATTGCATAAACTCTGTGTCCATGTACACATCGATCTGTTTTCACTTAAAAAAACATCCCAGAATTGCACAAACTAGGCATTGCGCACTGTTTAAATTTGTCCACGTACACATCTATTTTTATTTAAAAAAAAAAGGAGGCTAAAGCAAAGTTACACTATCATGGTAACCAGAAATACGATTTCATCGCCAAAATTTTACAAAATATTGTCGCTAATCGAAGGGGCACCCAATTCTACACTACAGCCGTTAAAAATATGCACATGATAACTTTTAAAGTAAAATTATTATGGAAAAGATTTGTTTTGAATAACAATATCAATTATCGGTAGAGGCATTCTCTTTACTTTGCATGTAGCATAGCGCACTCAGAATCTATCCCGCTGAATCATGCAAATAGCAAAACTGATTCTAATTTCTTTTATTAAAAGCCATTTAAGAATACAAAAAATAGAGCCCTCGCCAATTTTTCTCATTAGTTTTGATAAACATCTTTAAAGCCTGACAGATTTTTTGGAGTATATCATTAGCGTAACTGAAACGGCTTTAAATGTTTCATCCAAGTGAACACTTCCAGTTCTTCATGAATAGTGCTGCTTATCTGTTGATAATTTTTTAAACTACAAATTATAATTATGTATTATTGCTACAAAAGTCTATTTTTAGGCACGCTGATATTTTTTAAAACGAAGTATCGAAGCGCTTCTTCATAGCTGATAAATGCATATTTGATTGCTTCATACAAATATTTCTTTTTTGGTTTAATTTTTTTTTCAAATATCATTTTCCAACTGTGTAACCAGTTTTTTTTTTTTTAATATTATTTTCCAAGAGTGTAACAAATCTGCAGTATCTACTCAATCTGAAAGATGATTATGGACTTTTTCTTATTCTCTTAAACATAATATCCGCTTTTTGTTTCATGTATATAAGACTAAGTTCTAAATATTTTAATGTAAAATTTGTATTCTAATTTTAATGTACCATTATTCTGTTGGTAGTATTATATGTTGCGTAATTATCTTATTACACTTTAGTAGACTGGCATTACTAGGATGTAATAAACTACATCAAGTCCAGAATAGTTCATGTTAGAGAATATTTCCCCCCTCACACACACACACACACAGCGAAATTTTGATTATTCAATGGAAATTACTGTATCGAAATGGCCCTAAAATAATAAATTTCCACTTCGGTAAGTGTTTGGCTAAAAAAGCACACATGAAACATAGTTAGAACAGGCTCACATCTTTATCCGATTGCCATAATATTATAACTAAACAGTATTTTCCTCACCATTCTTCTTCTTCTTCTTCAATGGCCAGACATCCCAGGATGTGCCCTTGGCTTCCTCAGAATTGAATTCCAAGCTCTTCTATCCCTCGCCATGGACATTTAATTGGTTATTTTAAAAATTCTTAAGTCTGTTTCCAAACAGTCGAGCCACAAGTTTAGGTCACCCTCTTTTTCGGCTGCCGAATGGTCTGGCCGAGAAAATCTTCTTAGTTACCCGATTTCATCCTTTGCCCAGGTGTCCTGCCCATTTAATTCTCTGAACCCTTATATACATTTACTATATCTATTTCTTTAAAGGATTGATAGCGTTCAGAGTTAATTCTTCTTCTCCAGATATCATTACATTTTATGCCACTAAAAATACTTCTCAAAAATCTTTCTCTCAAAGACAGAAATGATACTTTTAGCTTTTTCTGTCATTACCCAGGTCTCAGCAGAGTATGTAAGAATGGGTCTGATTAAGCTTTTGTAAATTAAAATCTTCGTTTTCTGTTAGTGAAGTTAGACTTCAAGTATTCCTTGAGACCGAATAAACATCGGTTAGCATCTGTGACTCTACTACGGATCTCGGGCATTAATTACCATTATACAAAAGGTAAATTTAAACCGATACAATTAGTATTCATTTTCAACAATCTCCCCACCTTGCAAAATGGGAATTTTGCAAAATAAATAGAATTTAATTAAGACACAATAACACGCTGAATAAATACTAATTCAGAAGTCAAACAACAAAAATCAGCTGCTGCTTTTTCTGCTGCTAAAATTATTCAAAAAACATCTTCCATTGGAGAACTGGATTTTCTAGAGGCATTTCACATTCATAAAAATCTTTCTATTCTAGTTAACGATCCTAATTCCAATCCAAATTTGCCTTCAGCTTTTAGAGAAATTATGTTTAGTTCTGGTTTCGCCAACAGATGGCGCCACTTGCTTATTCTTGTCCAGGCTTTCTTATCTTATCTAATCATTATTTCCTATCTTGTTCATTTGCGGTTTTGCAGCTGAAGATGGTGGTTCGGTAAAACCATCGAAACTAGTCCTGTGAAAAAATTTGCAAATATAACGCTGATTTTTGTTGTTTGACTTCTGAATTAGTAAATACAACTTAGTTTAAACTTCAAATAAAGTTTTCAAAGATTTAAATTGTAGGTAAATTTTATAAAATTCTAAATTACTAAGTTAGTTTATAAGTTCAGTATTTGTCGAGGACGCACTTCTCTAGATAGACGATTTTTCCTAAAAGTCTAACCCCTGTTCTTTGATGGTTGTAGATACAGTTTTTTGATCGTTTTGTTTTGCTTGAGAAATCTAGTTTCTTACATTAATCGTTGTAAAAGGATGTATTTTCGAGTTAGTGTCTAGTTCAAGAGGAAAGAGGTGCTGAATTGGCCTAAGTACAACTCCAGAAGATGTTTCCAGCTTCTCAAGACGCGTGGTAGCATATTTACTGATAATCACTTCACGTATACTAGTCTACATCCAGACTAGAATCTACATCTGCGGACATCATCTATAAACGCATCTACTACATCATCTACAAACGCAGATGTAGACTAGTCT